GTGATTAGTTTTACTTTTACATATTTATATTATCATTAGCTTTTGATGCTTTAAAAAAAGAAATATTAAAGATGGTGTAAATCTTCAAATACGTGCAATTTATATATATATATTATATATATAAAAGTTTGATTTAAAATATATTTTGTTACTAATGTATCTTCATATACCACATACAATCTTATAGATATACTTATACATTTCTGAAGCTAACTAAAAGAAAATATTGATAATTATTTTTACTACTATAAGTGACAAAATAAATGACGGAAAATGATTTATTTTTTTACCTTATATGACTACTCATGTTAGAAATGAACTATGATTCTTCTATGAGTCGTGGTTTTATACGTAAGGATTAGGAAATAACAAAGAAGAACATTTTACATCGGTAAATCAACTTTAATCAGAATAATTGAAGAATATCAGAAGATTTAAGTGTTTTTATTTCGATATAATCAAAGTGCACTTTATTCTCTGAATAATAAAATAAAATCGGAAGATTTACCTTGCTTGAGAAGAAACGTGACGTGGCGTGAAGATGACGTTATTCGTTTTGTTAAAGAAACTAATATAATGCATGGATATCATAGAAGATCGGATATTTATATTTACATTAATTTAAAAAAAAAAAAAAAGCATGGAAAACTGATATAGAATTCGATGAAAAAGAAAAATACAGATGTAATTTCTACTGATTATAAGAAATATAAATATAAAAATATTTGGTAAAAGCTCAAGCAAAAGAGAAGGAAATATTAAATTTTAAATTAAATAGTGAAAATAAAAAATATTTAATGAAATAATTTATAGATACATGTTTCATAATATATGAATTATAATATTATAAAAATATTAAAAAATGGAAAATTATTATTGTGAAGTTTGTTCAGTACAATTAATGGATCATACTCAATTCGTAAATCATTTATCAGGAACAAACCATTTAAGAGAAGTTCAATTTAATAAATTTAAAGAATGGGTAGAACGCTCTATATTTATTCCTTGTTTACCAAAAAATTGTACCAAATATAAACTAATGGACTTTTTCGTAAATTTTGGGCCAATTGCAAAGCTCAGAATTAATAAGGATTGGGCTATTATTGAATTTAAAAAAAGGTATAAAAAAATTTGATTAATTAATTTATATCAATTATTTAGTTTAATATTCGTAGTACATTATTTTCTTTTCTTTCTTTTACAAGAGAACCCACGGAAGACTTAATAAACAAACCGATCTGGTTAAATAATCCAAAGTTAAATATTCCAAAAAGAATATTTTATAATAATGGTATGGATATATTATATATACATATATATATTTTTTTACATTCTATTTTGTTAAATGATATTAAATAATAATGTTAAACATTTATTTTAAGATCCAAAAGATTTTCATGATAAATATGTTGCAGAGACAACGAAAATTATAGATTTGGATTCTATAAAGAGTATATTCAATAACGAAACTACATTTGAAATACAACTCGAAACATTTTTGAATACAGTACTGCTTAATGATAAAGAAATTGAAGAACGATATGACTCAATCTGTAAATTTTTAGATGAAATATTTGCAAGTGAATTTCCAAAATGTCGATTCGTTAGATTTGGATCTACGCGAATGGGACTAGCATTTAAAGATTGCGATTTGGATGTTTATTTGGATAATGGTAAATTTACGAATCATATTAATAAGCTTAAAATTACGGTGAGATATTAATAATATACATTTTACAATTAATTACATTTCTTCTAGATGAGCCAATATGTGAATCAGAAAGACGTTGTAAGACGGAAATGCTTTTTAGTAAACTGGAACCTGTAATGAAAAAGTTGAATTACATATTTAAGAATATATTACTAACACTAGAAGACAAAAATCCTATTAAATTTTATTTTGTTCCGAATAAGGTTTCTTGTCATATGTCATTTAAAAACGATTTTGCTATACATAAAAGTTATTATATCAACTACTGTCTTTTACTGGATAGAAGAATAAGACCATTAATGGTTATCATTAAATTTTGGGCAAGACAAAGTAAAACGACAGGTAACGGAAAAATATCCAATTATACATTATTATTATTAATAATATTTTATTTACAACAACCGGAAACAAGGATACTTCCATCTTTATTGGAACTCCAGAAAACGTGTAGACCTAAATTTGTTCATTGTTTTCAAGTAAATTTTGATATAAATACGGTATTATTACCTATTAACAATCGTAGCACAATTCCACAACTTTTGACAGGTTTTTTCAACTACTATGCTAATTTTTATTTTAATACCATTATCATTTGTCCTAAGCGCGGCATGGCATATTCAAACGCATTGATACGCGAAATTGATACTTCCCGTATGCCCTACTATATGTATGTAGACTTTAAGTTTATGCAGACTATATGTAAGGAAAAAGCTAATGCTTATATTCAAGATCCCATTGAATTAAACGATAATTGTTTTGACTCTATAAGTAAAAAAGATATAGCAACATTTAAAAAAAATTGTAAAATAAGCGCAGAGATCTGTAATTCATCTCAAGAGAACAATTACAAAAATCTTTTAGAAAATTTATTTACGTATGAGGATTACGTAATATAAATCAGTAGCTTTATTGCAGTGTTAGCAATATGTTCTGGCTCATATATGAATGTCGGTTTACCAGATAATTTTCAAAACCATGCTGACATAATTGACAAAGAACAATATATAAAGGATAATTATTACTTTCTAGTATTTAATATTGTGAAAAATATTTTTGGGAAAGTGTGCAAACTACAAGTGCAAGTTTTTTCTACTGACTAAGAAACTAAATAACAAAAAGTTGAAGTTTTATCCTATATACATACAAAAAAACATCAACATCATTACAAATCTTATATTTTGTATACAAAATATCATACAGAAACTAACTTGTGTACCTGAATACAATAAATTGATGGGTGCTATGGACAAGACCGATATGGTCATCAGCACTCTCTCACATTCTACGAGAAAAACGACGAAATAGTACAAGAAGTATTTTTTTCATATGATCGTCATATGTCTTTGGAACTCTTATATTGTTTATATAAATTAAATACGGGTAAAACATTATCAATAGCAAAATTTCAATTAAAATTGATCGACCAATTTTTGAAAAAATATCATAAACAATCAAGCAATCATTGTATAAGACTGAGGAACAATTACTCAGCACGACTCAACGGAAGACATTTTTCTTCTCTTTATGAATTTAATGGGAAAAAAGGATCGTGAAGGTGTGCCTTATATACAAAAAATGATAAGAGATGAAAATCTCGATATCAATGCAAAGAATGTCATGTTGGGTTGTGCGTGCATCCATGTTTCAGAATATACCATACGTAATTAAATTATTAATTACTATATATTATATATTATGTTATATTTTATTACTGAATATTATATATTATGTTATATTTTATTACTGAATATTATATATTATTTTATATTTTATTACTGTATATTATATATTATGTTTTATTTTATTACTGTATATTATATATTATTTCTTAACTTTTTTCAATTGTTTATGAGACATTTTTTATCCATTAAATAAGTTTATATCTTATGTAGATATTATAAGTATATTGTTTTAAAGAAAAATCCCTTTTCCTCCAAAATACACTATCCATGCGCAATGTGCACAATTTCTGCGGGAAGTTCCGTTCGAAAGGATTAAAAAGCGATAGAATGAAAAGCAATTATTATTTATGATAATAATAATAATAATAATAATAATAATAATAATAATAATAATAATAATAATAATAATTAAGTGTAAATGTCAGCGTTAAATTGTATAATTCAGTTAAATCATAGAAATTTTATATTTTAACTACTGGCCTCTTGTAAATTCATATATTACTTTTTATTCATTGAAATATATAATTCTATCCTCTGTCATATTTAAACAATTTTAAAATTTACGTAATCATTTCAAAATATCAACAGCATATACAAAAAGTTATGAAAGGAAGTAAAGAATTTGGCGCCAATTATTTGAAATACTAGTTTTGTTTAAGTCGATTGGTTAGTTTTATTCCTTGCATTGGTAGTCAAGATGGATGACTAGTAATGCGCCAAGTACTCGTAGTTTTTAATTCTTCAGATTTCTACTACTTGATATTAGTGTTTTAAAATTTAGAGAAGGGAATAGATTTTCAACTGTTAATCAGATATATCATTACTTCTCATTTTAATTTAATGTCATCGTTGGGATAAGGATAGGTATATATTAAAACAATATCGATTAATTCAGCAAAGAAACAAAATATAGACAGATATATCCCCGGCTATGAGTTAATTACAATTGCGATGGTTCTTAGCAGTGAAAAGCATGTTATACCTATGTTGTGTTGCATTGAATTCCTATTTAGCTTATCAAAAAAATAAATATGTCTGACGGTGCATGAATAGTTGAACAGATTCAGAGATCCGAGATTTAGTTCATCAACGAGTAACAAGTTATCAGTGGATTTTATGCTTAGTAAATAATGTGAAAAAAGAAATATAAACAAATAATAAAGATTTAAGTACTAATTTCAAAATAATTCTTTTCTAGAAACGTGAAATATTTAACGTTTGGCTATAATATAACTAGTAACTGTGAAATTACCAGTCCTCTGATTTTCTTCTTAAAAACCTGTTTTGACAGTGCTTAATGAATATTGTAGATGTAAATATTTTTATGTAGTTATTCTAGTACCTTATATTGTAAATAAGTACATATCACGTGTTATAACAGTTATGCTCTGCCTGTCTTTGACTTAAGTATAAAGTTAAATTAAAATAAATGTAAGAAATTTACAAAATATACGAATTTTTATGTATATTATTATATTTAACAAAATGAAACCTCTTTGAATAATTACACTGAACCTACTAATTACAGTTTTTAAGCAAAATGAGTGATCTTGCTGAAATGGAAGAATTGCAGACACCAATCATTGAAAAAAAGACCAATAACAAAGACAACGATAAGTTGAAAAAAGAACAATCTTCTATTGTGCAAAAAGAGTCTATCATCAAAAAAACTACTGAAGATGTACAACGTGCCATTGAAGGTCTCAAGGAAATACCGGATAAAGAACTTCAAGAGTTTCTGGATGATGATTTTATGGAAGGTCTCAATGTTGTCGATGCTTGGGAAGGAGAGGAAGATAAGAATCGTGAGGAAAAAAAATCTCAAGCTAAAGAAAACGAACAAGTTACTAGGTAGAAAATTTATATTTTATTAAGACAACGTTTATTAACTATAATGTTTAATCTTAATTTTTTACTGTATTGCTTTGTGATACTTAAAAAAATATTTTTTCAAATTATGTGGCAGATAATCGTTTGTATTATCCCCTACAATTTCTTCTTAATACATGTTTTAGTATTTTTTTGTACATCTGTATTAAGAACGAAGTTATGTCTTAATTATATTGTAACAACTAGTGATATTTGATAGAAAGTGATAGAAAGAATAATTATAGGGAGCACAATCGCAAGGAACATAAAGTCGTCGTTAGAAACAGTCGTGAGAAATCTAAACGAGAGGAAAAGAAACGTGAGGAAAAGAAACGTGAAGAAATTCGGCGAGATCCATCTAAAAGTACAAAAGATATAGAAAGAGACAAAATGCGTACGAAGAGGGACAACGAGAGTAAATTATTGGCGGAGAAAGAAAAAGCTATTAAAAATTTACTTGATTCTGATAATGTAGTACCACCTGGTACAGAAAGTGAAGCAATTCAAAGTATTACTGATAAACAAAATGAGGAACGAGTACAAATGCGAAATCGAAAAAGTAGAGAACGTCGTAGAAGCCAGGAAAGAATAAAATTAAGTCCAGTACGTAGAAAAAGTTATGATAGATGCAGAGCAAGTCCGCATAGAAGAATATTGAGTCCTATTCGTCGTAGAAGTCCTTTCAGATTGAGTTCAGAAAGAGTAAATTGTGATCGTAGAAGTCCTCTTATATTATCACCAGAAAGAAGAAGAAGTCCGTACCACAGACGATTAAGTTGGGAACGAAGATTAAGTGCAGATAGAAGATGGAGTGCTGAACGACATAAAAGAAGAATGGAACTACAAGAACGGTAAGAGAATATACATTTTCTATTATATATACTATTTAACTAGTCGCGATCTTAAGTGATACGCGACTAAGCACACGCCTATTAATTAGTTTCTCAAAGTGCTGATTCTTTGAGACTAAAATGGCAAAAATTTATATTTTAACTTTAAATCCACAAGACGAAGAAGTCGATCTCGTGATCGGCAACGAAGTCGCAGCATGGAACGTTTTCGAAGAAGGTCCCGTTCACCGATTAATAGGAGATACAGTCCAAGACGTCGAAGTCGTACTCGTAGCAGATCTTTGGAACGACGCACCAGGAAAAGATCACCTTTCATCAATGAACTTGCCAGGCAGTTGCGAAATGAAGCTATAAAGTCTAATTCTACATATATCCCAGCATCCTCAATGGAAGGAATATCACCAATCATGAATACATCTATATATTCACAAGAGACAGAAGTTCGAGGAGCATTGTCTCAGTCTTATATGCATCAGGGTGGACCACTAACACCAGCACAACAACCACAACCACCACCATCATCTTCTGTATTGCCAATGTCATCGGGAATGCAGCCATTTATGAATTTTGATATTCCTTCATCTCAAACAGCTATAGGCTTCGATGGTGCTCCTTTACATTCAATACCACCTGCTCATTACTCCTCTGGCCCCGTAATGTACAATCATAATACGGTACAAACGAATACTATACCAACGCAATCAGGAACCCGAGCAGTACTACATCCTGCACCTCATCAAACTACTCCACAACCAGTGCCTGCACCAGTATCAATGGATCAATCAGTCATGGGAGGATATGTGCCACAACATGGAGTTGTTTCACATTTAGAGTCATCCAACCATAAGCCTGTTAATGCAGTCCTTTCACCATCATCAAATTATAAAGACCATAGGTCATCGCTATCCTCAAACAATGGATACCAGCTTCGTGAAGAACGCTTGAAGACTCCTGAACCACCAGTTATCTCCGATACCAAAGTAAACACCTTATGTATCATAGTAATAATATTTTATTTCATTGTTCAATTGTCAACAAGCGTAAAATCGTTATTTCTTTGCATTAATTATATAAAAATACCTTTGCTAATGTATTCATTTATACAACACACTTATGTATACTACTTGGACTAAATCCGTATATGTTTTATATCCAGAAAAAAATATTAATTTATTACTTTAAATTTAAACTTACAGCAATTTGAAAAGACCAGTTTGTCCAGTCTACTGGAAGCGTCTGTTTCTGCTAAAGGTGCGAGTATGAGCTTTTTTAATTTTGTATCCTAAAGAATATGTAAACCAATCTCAACTTGTGCGACTTAACATATAATATTAATATCGTTGCATTTTCTTTTTTATATCCCTTAGATTCGACTAGTCCACCAGTCTTATATCCAGGTGAGAATTTTAATGTTAACGATATTAAAGTGCTTTCAATCGCGTTTTGTGTTTTGAAAAGTGAAAAGTATCATTGCTATTGCTTATACATTGATGGTATATGCAAAAGATGGTATAAGAGAAAGAAATAAAAAATAAATAAAAAGTAAAAGAAAAACGAAGTGAAGTGTAACAACTCATTTTCACGCGTGATCGTTGATTCTCTGTGAGAAACGCTCACGAAGCATGAAAATGATATGAAAACTAAAGTATTCTCCTATTAATCGTACGTGGAATTTGTTTTTTCCATGGTAGGATTCAAGCCAGAAATACTACGGCATTGCGAGCACGCCCTACGTGGACTTCCAATCGAAGATCCACGTTTGAAAAGGAAGGGTAGATTTTTCTTTGACCCAAAGAAAGCAGACTCTAAAAGTAAGTACGAGGAATATCCTTCCAATTCTATACTCTTGCTGAATGGCAAGAAAATATATTGGGAGGAAGAAGAGGTACAACAATACGATACGTCGTTGACAACGCAAACCATGCAGATGCATCAAAAGATTTGTCAAACAGAAGAAATTGAAATGGATTCGAAATCCGTGGAAGCGCACGTCGATATGGTTGATTTTGAGATGCAAGTATATCCACATGACATCGAACATGAGATCAAAGAAGAAAGAAAATCTATCATGGATAGGCTCGATTGGAATACGCGGGAAAAACATCGAGACGCGGATGACTTAAGATGGAACTTGAGCAATTTGTCTCATAAACGCCCATGGAAGAGGACATTGTCTCCGCCTAATAGGAGATCCCACGATCGGGATCATTTCCAAAGCGTACCTTCGCCGGAACATCCATCGAGAAATTTAGAAACAAACTCCAGTAAGAGAAGTAGAGATAGTTATTCTAGGGGATCAATTCGAGAACAATATGATAGATATTCACCGAATTATAATCGTTCGATGAACATTGATGATTTTCGCGAGAACAGAAGTGATCGTAGTCGAGGCGAAAGTCCCATAATGAATCTCGGAGATTCCGAGGAAGATTCGGACGAAACGTTTACATTCCAAAGAGAAAACGATTGGTGTGGAAGAGGAAGAAGACCGTTTCGAGGGAAGTCTACGAGAGGAAAATATTCAAGAGGCAGACAGTATCGTGCACGTTGCTCTTTTAATAAATTCTAATTTCTTATAGATTATAAATGTAGTAAACTAAATATATATTGAAAATAATTATATTTGCGAAATTACTGAAAATATACAGTTCGACGTACGGTATAAGTTTATGGTATCATCAAATCAGTTTGTACATTATTTATAAAAAATACCGTCATCACATATATATATATATAACTAACTATACCGTTCGGCCGATTAATCAAATGTAAACATTTTTTACTATGCACAAAAAATAAAAATTTAACCCATCAACAAAGTACGTGCATAAGTTTTTGAAAGTGCAAGCGTAAAGGGGAAATATAATTAATTTCCTCTGCACAAATATACTGTAATACGGTGACTACAAAAAGCATCGAACCGCAATTTATTTGTTGTATATGTATATATATATGAATATAATCATAATGATCTATACATATTAATATGTAATATGTAATATGTATATATCTTTTTACTAAAAACAAAAATGTCTTCAAGTTGTTGATACCAGTGAAACAAACGAACAATGTTATTTTAATCCTTTTTGCGTATATTTATCCCAAAAAATGGTTGTATCGACGTATTTCATAGCCATCTATATATCGCGCAAGGGACAAGAAAAGTTTTTCAATCAATGAAAAGATTTTTTTTTTTCAAATATACACATAAACTAATGATCTATGCATTTCATTTGCCATTATGATTCCTAATAGAAATTATGTTGTCTCATTTACCATTATGTTATTTAAATGCATATTATTGATTTTTTAACAGCAATGATCAATCGTCGAATTTGAAAAATTCCTCATTTTTTTCTTTGAGGAATCCGACAATCGACATAGATACAGCGTATATTTCAAAAGTAACGATTCGAATTGAATTAACATTTCAACGAATAATATCGTAGCACGTTTTCGGACAAATCAGGGAGATTTCGAATGGAACATTTGAATCAGCTTTACCGAAAAAGAGCCAATAGGAAAGCTCCAAGAAAAAAGTCAAATAAGATTGCGATTGGTCGAGGTCAGGGATTGGATGAAAATAGTGGAACAACGGTAACTAAAGACAAATGTTGGTTGGTGAATTCGGATACAGTCTAGCGCTATAGAGCAAAGAGAAAGAGAGAGCGAGGAACGCTAGCGCCAGCGGTCCGCGCGACGGAAATTGGAGGAACCATTCGGCATGGATCCAGCTCCATGTTCGGCCGTGAAAGCGATGCGGTGTCCCCGCGGTTAGGGCGTAAGATTCTCGTTGCTTTGGCGAGAACGTGGTGCGTTTTGTACGCGTCGACCGTTGAATCGGTCGACGGAAAAGGGCGCGCTATCGGACGTAAGTCTTATCGGGAGTTCGGTATACGGTGGTGGTGGGTGTGCGCGCGTCGAGGTAGTGCGGCGTGGCGGAGCGACTTGAGAGACTCGTGGAGAGGAATACGACAAGAGGAAGTAGAAGTGGAAGAAGACGAAGAAGAAGGAGAAGGAGGAAGAGGAGGTAGTGGTGTTGTTGGTCAATTTAGAAAAGAAGGAGAAAGAGTATTACGTGGTGGTGCCTCGATAAGAGGAAGGAGAAAAGGAAGGTTCGTCTTCGTAGACGTCCGCTCGTCAAGCTCGTCACGGCGGTGTACGGTGTCGCGAGGTTCATCGTCGGCCGAAGGGCTCGTCGTCGAAGCGTGTCGTCGTCGTCGTCGTCGTCGTCGTCGTTGTCGTCGTCGACGGTGACGCCGGCCGCGGCGGCGCGTGGTGCGAGGACGAGGTGAATGCACGGCGGCCGCGGTGTGTGTGTCAGTGGTGTAAGCTCGTGTCTTCTGCGCTCGTGGAAACCCGCCAAAAGCCGCGGCCGCGAACAAGCACCACTAGGATTAGCAGCAGTGGCGTGTACGACAGCTGGACCGAGATCTTTTTCCTCGTCGTCCTCGTTATCATTATCATCGTGATCATTTTTGTTGGTGCCGTCGTTATTAGTGAACGCGAACGTGCTGTATCAAAGAAGAACGAAAAGAAGGATTAAGGATTGCAAAGGGATAAATTTGGTAGGAAAGAAGTATTCTTCTTATCATCGACACGTTGCGTCTTATTTTTCGTTTGAACATTATATCATTTTAAGAACGCGTATCGTCGCAACATTTCTGGACCAATATAACTGCTATTGCTCCGAAAAGCAGTAGCAGTCACAGTAGCAGTAACAGCATTAGCAGCAGCAGCATCGGCGGCGTCAGCGCACGACGGTGGCGGCTGCGTTCTGTTATTATTTTGCCGCGGTGCTTTTGACCCTTCGAACCGGGCGAGTTCATTGCGGCAGTGTCGCGGGGGTGTTTGCCCGACGTCTAGCGCACCACTTGGCGGTGGCGGCGGCCGCGGCGGCGACGACAACGACGACGGTAGCGGTGGTGGCGGTGGTGGTAGTAGTGGCAGTAGTGGTGGTGGTGTCGTGTTGGTCACGACGACGACGACGACGACAGCAGTGGCGCCAGAAGAGGAGGACGTCGCGCGAGCGCGTCCGTTCGAACTCGTGCTCCTTTTGCTTCTTTCATCTCCTCGTGGCTGATAACCTATCGGATAATCGCACGAGAGAGCGCCGCCTCGAGAGTAGAAGAAGAGCCGTATCTTTATCTTCTCCTCTCTTTTATTTCTCTCTCTCTCTCTGTTTCTTTCTCGAGGTGCGCTGCGGAGTACCACGTGATACGGTGCAACACCTCTTCGCTCTTCTCTTTGTTTTCTTTGCTCTCTTTGCTGTTGCCGTTGCCGTTGTCGTCGTCGTCGTCGTGTCGTCGTCCTCCTCATTCTCCTCGTTGTCGTTATCATCATTGTCAACGTTGTCGTCGTTTTTGACGTTGTCATCACTATCATCGTCGTCATCGTCGTCTTACTCCTCCTCGTTATTGTTGTCGTCATTTTACACAACGGTAGTAAGAGCGTCAATAATCAACAAAACGACACATCGAAATCGTTCATATCGTACATTTTTGGAACGCGTTTAACGAACGGAAACAAAGAGAACAACTGTTAATGATTAATCGTCTTCTCTCTTGTAAGAGTGCAACGACAAGACTACACAAGACAGCAACAACAACACAACAAACAACATAACGACAGAAGCTGTAAGCAGTAGTAATTGTAACAAAAGTGAGGGAAGGAAGACAGAGAAGTTGTACTCTCGGGAGTGTCCCGCCGCGTGCTTGGTGATATCGGTGAAGAAAGGAAGAGAGTGAGAGAGAGAGAAAGAGGGGGGGGAAGAAGGGTGGAATATAGAAGGGGGACAAGGAAGAAGGGAAGGGTGAGAGTAAGCATCCTCGCTAAACTCACTCTCTCTCTCTCTCTCTCTCTCTCGCGCGCGCGCGCGAACGCGAGCGTTAGATAAACGACAGACAGGCAAGCAGGCAGGCGAGCAGACAAGCGAGCAAGCAGGCAGGCAGGCAGGAAGAACAGAATTAAAGGCGCGCTTTCCGTCGTCGTTGTCAACGTCGTCAACGTCGCTGACGTCAGGTCTCGCGAGTTCCACGTGCGCGCGTGTTACTCGTGTTTGCTAGTGTTGTCGTCGTCGTCGTTTGTCGTGTCATATCACGTTGTGTTCTAAATTGTTCGATCTGTCAGAGATAACGGTTCATTATCGTGTAGCTCGTGAAAAGAGAAAACGGAAGGTCTGAAATTTTAACGCGACTACGAAGATATACAGGTGTCCACGTGCTATCCGTTGAACGTGCGACAAAAATAGTATTTGCCTGAGAACGATATCGCAGAAACAGTTTCTACGACGGTTATTCGATTTCATGGCTACGACCTGATTATTCCTTCGTCGAGGCTCGTTCGGATTAAAAGAAAGGCAAGTAAGCAAATACAGGCGAGCGAGCGAGCGAGCGTAAGAGCAAACGAACGAACGAATAAGCGAACAGGCAAGCGGGTAGGCGGGTGTAGGCAGAAAGAGAGCCGCTAAACAAGAGGGTAGGAGGAGGGAACACTGTGTGCGTAACGGTGTGTCGTGTATCAGAGGAAGAGAGAGAGAGCGAAGAAGAAATCGCGACTTTCGGTGCGGGTTGCGTGCCTTGATCAAGCGTGCGACAAAGAAAAAGTTGGAGGAGGGGGAGGAGAAGGAAAAGGAAGAAGAAGCGGTGAGCGAGCAAGCGGGGGAGAGGAGAGGAAAGTTCCGTCCGAAGGCCGAGCGTGTATGACAGTTCGCCTTCCGTGGTCCGACTCCTTCGCGTTTCGCGGCGGCAACGGTGGCGGCGGCAGTTCGCCTTCTTCTTCTTCTTCTTCTTTGCCTTGTGTTTTTCCACTTCCGCGTGTCCCCTGTTTGTCTGCTGTGTGTATGGTGCGCCCAATCCACCCCCCACCGTTTTTTATTTTGTTTTCTTTTTTCCTTTCTTCTTACGTTTCTTATACCAGCACTGCCAGCAAGCTACTAGTGTGCCGTTGTTGTCGGTGAAGTGCTTTGCAAAGAAAGAGAAAAAGATCTATATAAATATATGTATACGTATATATAAATATAGGTATATATATACATATACATATATACGTATATTTAATACGTGCTGTATTGTTATTATTATTATATTTCGGTGAGACAGGCGTGCGTGGCCTCGAGCCTCATCGCGTGTTAGTGGAAGAAGAGGAAGACGACGAAAGGGAAGGAGGGGGAGGAGGAAAGAGGAGAGGAAAGAACGAAGGAGAACTGGCGGAGGTGGTCGTGGTGGTGGTGGTGGAGGTGGAGGTGGAGGTGGAGGTGGAGAAAGTGGAGGAGGAAGAGAAGAAGAAGAAGAAAAAGAAATAAGGTGCTGGTGGACGACGCCTCTCGAGTCTTCTTCTTCGAGCACCGCCGAGGTATCTTCCTTTCTTCTTCTTCTTCTCTTTTCCTCTTTTTCCCTCTTTCCTATCTTTTTTCTCTCTCTCTCTCTCTTTCCCTTTCTTTCTCGCTTCCTTCTTCCTGCATATAAGCAGGCACGAAGTGTAGCTCGTATTTATATTTATATTCGAAATTGAAGTTGAAGTTGAAGTCGAAGTCGAAGTCGACCGCGTGTTCTGTACGGTGTAACACATATACGTAAAGGAAGGAACTCGCGCGCTCTCGTGCGGCACTAGCCGTTGCCGTTGCCGTCGTGTCGTCGTGTCGTCTCCGTCGCCGTAGCCGTAGCCGTCGTCGAGTTGAGGTTAGGTCTGCCAACGGACGAATCGCTATCGTGCTGCGTATTTCGAGACGTACGTATCGAAGTGGACGATCGAACGAAGAGCGGAGAAGCGCGTGCGACTCCGCTCCTATGCGCGATCCTTTCCTACGGTAAACTTCCGTTTGTCGTTCAATCTCTCTCTCTCTCTCTCTCTCTTTCTTTCCTTTTTTCTTTCTTTTTCTCTTTATCTTTCTTTCCCTCTCTTTCTCTCTTTCAATCTATCTATCTATCTCGCGCGTGTTTAACGTTTTCTACGTCTTTCTCTGTTTCCCTGACAAAGTGTAAAGTTTCGTCTTACTCTCTCTTTCTCTTTCTCGTATCTTCCTTTTACTTCGATTCAAAGGGCTCTACAAAGTGTCGTGTCGTGTCGTATCATGTCGTGTCATAGCACATATACACCGCATGAAATCTCGAACGGCATGTTCGCGAGTTTTGGGTGAAAGTTCGATAGTGTGCGCCGTTATCGTCGCTGCTGCTGCTGTGTGTCTGCTATTACTGCTGCTACTTTGATGTGCTGCTGCTACCTTCAGAGGTTAAGTCACTGTCCGCTAGAACTTAACCTCAAAAATTATCGATGGGACGTCGTCGTACTTTAGTATTTTACGCGTCGTCGTCGTCGTCGTCATTGTCATCGTCGTCATCATCGTCATCGTTGCCGTCGTGTCCGACGTTGTTCTTCTTGTCATTATTGTGTGCGATACGCATTTCTAATTTTTTTTCTATGTACATATATAAATGTACTTTTATTTTGTTGTTTTTTTAGTTTTAGTTTTAATAAGGAACACATCATGAAAATTATCTTGTGTGATATTAAGCTCTTTCGTATTGTCGCGCAATCTTACGCGCGCGCGAGCGCGCGTGCTCTCTCTCGCACGATAAATTTGCACATAGTAAGTAAGTATGTACATATATGTATACACACGTATAACGTCGTCGAAGCTTCCTGTCTCCATTGATAGATTTCTCTTTATCGATGCATTACGTGCTTGATCTAAACGAATAAACTCGATCTTTCTTACTTTTTATTTTTCTCTCTCTCTCTCTCCTTTTTTCATTTTGTTTGTTTGTTTTTTTTCGCAGCAACTTTTTTCTTTGTCATCCATCGTTAGTTCGTTCATTCATTATTTCGTTCGTTTGTATCTTTCATAATGTATTTCACATCGAACTTTATTATTCGTTCATCGATCTCTCTCTCCATAGCAATAATTTTTGTTGTAACGATAATGAGAATATTCCCCGACGTGGATGAGTCATGCACGTGGCGCCATTAGAGAAAAGAAAAATGGAGTACGACGTGTACCGCGCGTGTTGTTACGCCGTTGTGATGAAGAGGATTAACTAGTTAACGTGTTTTACGAAAAACGTACTTTCGAAATTTCTTTCTAATCGATTCTCGGAAATATCGAAAATATGTAGGATGAGTCAGCGAACATTGTCATCTTTGATGACATTGTATTTATCGATATCAGGAAATAATGTTTCGTATAATGGGGAAAAGGAGGAGAAGTAGCCAACAAGTGAATGCGTATATGTACATATATAACTGCAACTTCATGTTCATTCTAAAGTCCACAAATTAAAAATGATATTTCGTTCTTGATAATAACAATAATAATAATAATAATAATTAGATTGATTAATTCTCTGTATTTCTTTGATTTTCTTTCCCTATCTTTTTTCTTCTTAACGCAAGCAACTAAAAAGTAAAAAAAAGAAATTCAAACGAATTTAAATTCGTTGAACCAAAGAAATTATTCGAGCTCGTGCAATGCTTAATGTGCAAATTCCTTTCTCGGTTATTCGACACCTCGATACAAGGTAAAGAAGCCGCTTTCCTAAGCGGGGCCCAGGTTGCTTTCGTAAGCGAGAAT